GCTGGCTGAGGAATTCTGGGAGTTGAAGTCCACAAGTCTTAAAGTTGCCAAGGTTGGACACCCCTGGTATAAAGTCTCTTGCTTGTGGGGGAGGGGCAGGTTGGGCTAGAAGACCTCCAAAGCCCCTTCCCAATTCCCTTATTCTGTATTCTGCTTATGGGCCAAGTCATCTGGTGATACTTCAACGAGATGTCAAGTATGACTAAATACAAAGACAAAAAAAAATCGATTTGCAATCTCCACCCCTCTCACTACACTCTAATGAAGCGAAGCAAGGACCAGCTGGAAACAACACTCGCCAGGATGGGGAGGAGGGGTAGTGACAGGGGTCAGTAGAACAGGGAAGCAAGAAAGTCCTCCCGCCTCCTTACCTACCGTGAACCACATGCTGTTTCTGCAAAGCCCCCCGCCCCCGGGGAGGATAAAATCTGACTTATGTTCGCTTTCTTATTTTTACGCTGGAGGGGCTGGGTAGGGAGCTCCTTTCCTGCTTCTCTACTTCCCTGTGCTTCCCTGTGCGTGGGACACAGCTGATTTCCGCTCCAGCACTTGATAATGGAGCAGCTCCACCCTTTCCCCCCTCCCTCGTTTCCTCAGCTTCACTCCTCCAGGCCCGCAGCAGATGCTTTGCAAAAAAAGAAAAAAGCTGAGAATCCACCCTCTCTTTTCAGTAATGCCCACGAACAAATCTTTCCAGAAATGATCCAGCAGCGCAGAAGGGAGAAGGAGAATTAGACCCATCACCAAGCCAGCGTGCGCATTTTCCTTCTGTCAGTGTGACTGACTGGGCGCATTGTAAACCAATCAGCCTAACATCAATACTTGGGAAGATACTGGAAAAGATAATAATAATAAAAAAACAGATCTGCCAATATCTAGAAACAAGTAAAGTAATAACTAGCAGTTCAGCACGGGTTTGTTAAGAACAGATCATACCAAACCAATCTTATTTCATTCTTCAACACAGTGACTAAATTAGTAGACCAGCAAAATACTGTGGACATAATATATTTAGATTTCAGCAAGGCATTCGACAAAGTAGACCACAACCTACTTCTTGGGCCAAGCTAGAAAAAGCTAGAAAAAAGTGGAATAGATAGCACCACCACTAGATGGACTTGCAACTGGCTGGCAAACTGTACTCAAGGAGTAGTCCTTAATGGGTCTAAGTCTACATGGAGGGAAGTAAGCAGTGGGGTGCCACAAGGTTCTGTTTTAGGCCCAGTAATCTTCAATACCTTCATTAACGACTTAGATGAGGGAATAGAAGGGGAACTTACCAAATTTGCAAATGATACTAAGCTGGCAGGAATAGCTAACACCCAAGAAGATAGGCTCAAGATCCAGATGGATCTTGACAGATTAGAACACTGGGCCATATCTAATAAAATGATATTCAATGTAGAGAAAAGTAAAGTCCAACACTTAGGCAAGAAAAACCAAAAGTACACATATAGACTGGGTGAAACCAGGCTCAATAGCAGTAACTGTGAGAGGGATCTTGGAGTCTTAGTGGACAACCAGCTAAATAGAAGCCAAATGTGTGGGGCAGCAGCCAAAAAAGCCAATGCAATCCTAAATCGCATAAACAGAGGGATACAATCAAGATCAAGGGAAGCACTAATACCACTCTATAAAGCAGTGGTCAGGGAACAGGGGTAAATTACCCCAAATGGGGTAAAAGTGAAAATCTGGGGGTAATGAGGAGGTTGCGCTGGCCAATGGCGGAACTATCGGCATAGCAGCAGTTATTAAAACACCCTTGAGGCAAATTTATCCCCTCCACCCCACCCTTGTTTCCTGGGTCGGAAATGACTCCAGGCTAGATTCTGCAAGAGCCGCGCCGCCCGTTTTTTAGGGGAAGGCGAGCTTCTGGCATAGGGCAGAGCATTTTGGGAAAAGGGACGCTTTCCCCCGCGCTGCGATGACCGCACGCTTTTCGCGCGCAGTTTGTGTCACCGTGGCTCCCAAATATCATCCTCCCTTCCCGCTTCCTCGCCCCCAGGCCCTGCCTGCCTGCCAACTAGCCAGCCAGCCCGGCTCCCTCCCCGAAGCCTCTCATCACTGCCAGGCACACAGGAAGCGAAGAGGCACCTGCAACTGCCGCCTTGGCCCCGAGAAAATTCCCAGAAGCCCTCGGGAAGCCTGGTGACATTTCATTCCCTGGAGCGAGCTATCCCGCCTTCTTCCCAGCCGCGGGGGGGGGGGGGGGGGCACCTCCTCCCGCCTCGACCTCCAAATTATGTGTCAGCAGCCTGAGGTGGCCGGGGAGGGGGAGAGGCCGGGAGGGGTAACGTCTGCGTTTATAAATTTTTTGGGGGGTAAGAGGTAAAAAAGTTCCCTGACCCCTGCTATAAAGCCTTAGTAAGACCACACCTAGAGTACTGCATCCAGTTTTGTTCATCATGTTATAAAAAAGATGTTGAGACTCTAGAAAAAGTATAGAGAAGAGCAACCAGGATGATTAGGGGACTGGAGACTAAAACATACAATGAATGGTTACAGGAACTGGGCTTGGCTAGTCTAGTGAAGAGAAGGACCAGGGGAGACAGGATAGCAGTCTTCCAATATTTGAGGGGCTGCCACAGGGAGGAAGGGGTCAAGCTATTTTCTAAAGCACCTGAAGGCCAGACAAGGAATAATGGATGGAAACTGAACAAGGAGAGATTTAACCTGGAAATAAGGAGAAACTTTCTGACAGTGAGAACAATCAATCAATGGAACAGCTTGCCCTTGGAAGTTGTGGGAGCGCCATCACTTGAGACTTTCAAGAAGACATTGGACTACCATTTGTCAGAAATGGTGTAGGGTGGGGGGTTGGACTAAATGACCTACAAGGTCCCTTCCAACTCTGATTATCTGTTATCTGTTAGCATTAGCATTTTCATACATGGGACTCATTCCTCATGGTATTTTTTCAGAAGTTTTTTATCCATTTTTATGATGTTTGTAAATAACTCAAGGTGGCCAATGTGATCTAATAGTCCTTCTTCCTTTGATTTTGTTTGAAAAAAATGTTCTACATTGTAAACCTTCACTAACTACTATGGGAAGCTTCCCCTGCCCCATTCTAGAGAATAAAATATTTTGTGGGCTTTTAAAAGAGGTAGAATATTATATTTCCCCAAATGAAAAATGGAGAAACATGCTGTTAAACGTGTATTGGACATTGGGGGCCAAGTTGGAGGTATTAAAGGGACTTTACCTACTATTGTGACTTTGTTGCTTTTGTGCCACGCCCCAGGTCATCACACAAACTAAAGCTAGACTAGAACTCCCAGTCTCCTAGTTTCTAACCGGATGCCTTAACCGCTAGACAAAATTGCTCTCAGAAAAAGATAGGTGGATTTCAACTTTAAGAATCATGCTGGCTAAGGAATTTGGGGACCTGAAGTCCATACAATTAAAGCATGTTTTGTTGGGGAATTCTGGGAGTCAACATTTATTTATTTATTTGCTAAATTTTTATACCACCCTTCTTCCCTAAAGGCGACTCTGGGCAGCATACAATTAATCCACACATCTTCAAGCAGGGTTGTCTGGGAAATTCTAGGAGTTGAAGTCCATACATCTTAAAGTTGTACTGGAGTCCCAGTGGATGATGACTTAAACATGAACCAGTGGTGTGCAGCAGCAGTCAAAAAAGCTAATACAATCCTTAGTTGTATAAACAACAGCATAGAATCAAAATCATGGGAAGTATAAGTACAGTTTATAAGTACAGAGGTGGGCTGCTACCAGTTTGGCCCAGTTCAAGTGAACCAGTATCTAATTTTATCATTTTTAATTACTGGTTCGGTGAACCGGTAAATCCTCACCCTGGCCCACCCTGCCCTGCCCCTCCCAGGAATCTCCACGCAGCCTGTTTCGGATGCCAGATAAGTGCAGGGCCAGCACAGAGGCTCTGGGGGGCTCCAGGGGGCTTCTGGAGCCTGGGGAGGCCATTTTTACCCTCCCAGTGGTTCAACAAAAGACTCCGGAGCCCAGGGAGGGTGAAAACAGCCCACCTGCCACGCCCTAGGAGGCCAACTGGGCCACGCCCACCATGACCACACCCATCCAACAACCGGGAAGAGAACCGGTTGCTGAAATTTTTGAAACCCAACCCTACCTTAGTAAGGCCACACCTGGAATACTGCATCCAGTTTTGGTCACCGCATTACAAAAAAGATGTTGAGACTTTGGAAAAAGTGCAGAGAAGAGCAACTGAGATGATTAAAGGCAAGACTAAAACATACGAAGAACAGTTGCAGGATTTGGGTTCGGTAAGTCTAGAAAAAAGAAGGACTAGGGGGTGACATGGAAGCAGTATTCCAGTATTTGGGAGACTTCCACAAAGAGGGGGGGGGGGTTCAATTTATTTTCCAAAGGACCGGAGGGCAGGACAAGAAACAATGGATGGAAACTAATTAAGGAGAAAACAACCTGGAATTGAGGAGAAAGCTCCTAATAGTGAGGACAATTAACCAGTGGAACAGCTTGCCACCAGAAGTTGTGGGTGCTCCATCACTGGGGTTTTTAAAGAAGAAACTGGACAGACACTTGTCTGAAATGAGATAGGGTCTCCTGCTTGAGCAACGGGCTGGACTAGAAGACCTCCAAGGTCCCTTCCAACTCTATTCTTAATTGATTGATTGATTGATTAAAGTTGCCTAGGTTGACAAAATACCACCTTAACAGATTTGGAAGAGCAGGGTGGTTTTGCCAAAAGGGGCTTTTTACCATAGTTTTTGAGTTTACTACAAATCAAACATGATCCTTTCCCTTAAAAGAACATTCCACTTTACTAGGAAAGGAAGTGAACCAGACTATGAGCTACAAAAGAACTGAAACAGAAACCAGAGATGTCAAGAGGCTCACTGGCGTCACAAGATCGGAAGGAAGTGGCTTTGTGCAAAAAATGATGCTGTGGCAGTTTGATGCTATCTACAACTGTTATTGACTGGTTTGATTTCTACAGCCACCCATCTTAAAACACAATTCTGGGTGGCTCACAACAAAAATAAAACCCAGAACTAGAACAATCATAAAAATATTCAACCATAAAGTTATGCTTTAGAACTCACCCTTTTGATCGTAATTCAAATGCTTCAATAAAGCAAGTTTTGGAACATCATGGATACGAGTTGCGTGTACACAGCTCTGTGCAGGGGTTTCGTATAAAAACACGGGGAGGAAAAAGATGGCAGAAGCTGCCAGGGAGAGAACTGTAGACTCCAACTCCCAGAATTCCCCAGCCAGCCATTCCCTGACTGAGGAATTCTGGGAGTTGAAGTCCGTACATCTCAGTGTTGCTGAGCTTGAGAAACAGTGAGTGAGAGGCCTTAACCAAGATGCCATCTTGAGGGGAGAAAAATGGCACCTTCTTGGGAGTTCAGAAGAAGCTGAGAATCACTGCCCTAACCTTAGCAGCAGCATTGTTTCATCTGTACATGTGCACCTTGAAGGAATCAGACCAACATCTCCATCCTAAAGCAAGCAAGATAGCCAGTGTATGGGAAGTGTGACTGGTCACTTTAATGACTGTATGACAGACATTCAAAAGGGTATTTACAATGCAAATTCAAAATTCTGAGTGACATACACACACAAGTTTGCATTTTGGGAGCTTGGCAATCAGCCCACATTTACAGTTGATGCCATTTTATTTGGTTTGTCTTATTTAGTAGTAGCTCTATACCCATGCTTCGCTACGAAACTATGTGATTGGGCTTGGATTCTGGGGAGGAAAATAAGGGGGAAGGGGCGAAATTGTGCCTCTGCCTACCAGCATTCATCAGTATTCATCTGGGTAGCGTCCTATCAGTTTGTGAAACAGTTGAGGGCTGTTTGGAAACTGAAACAGTATTTGCTGTGTAAGCAAGAAGGAGACAGCAAGGAGCCTGGGCATGGCTTAGCTCAACTGTTCTGTACTAAAGCTGGTTGCTGCTGAGAAACTGAAACTCCTCTCCTCTGCTTGTGTTTTGCATTTGGAACAGATTTCTTTTCAGGTGGGGAGGTGGAGTAGAACTCCTTAGCATCAGAGTGTGTTAATAACGTATGAAATACTAATGCTCTGATGGCCATTTCGAAAAATCCTTTCTTATTGAGCACCTAGAAGCCAAGAGGAACATATGTGCCAAATTTCAAGTTTGTAGGCTTTACGATTCTGGAAGTTTTGTGATGATGTGTGAATGGTATTTTGCTTTTATATATATTTAGGAAGTTAGCACCCACCCCTCTTCTAGAAAATGGAAATATCCTAGGAAATATTAAAAAAGTCAGAATATTTCCCCTAAAAAGAGTAGAAACTCAGAAGCAGAAACTCACCTCAGAAGTAGCAATTCACACACACCTCTATTAATGGGTGGGTGATTAAGGCCTGGGCCAGAATATTTTACATAACGAAGATCTCCAGGTAAAACTATAGAAATTGCCCAAAGCCCTTTTCATTACATCATCACCAGCAAGGCTCAACCAAGCCTGGAACTCAGGACAGCCTACAGAGTTGCCCCTGCATGGCCTCATGGGAGTCTGACAACCAATCAGAATACAAGTTCAAATTCAAATCTTAGCAGAGGGTGTAAAACCCAGGCACTCTCAGCATCTTGGCCCTTCCTCCTTCTCTTTTCCTTCACCTTAAAGGATGTGATCACCCTTCTTTGGAGCTCCAAGCCATGTGGTCCTGTCCACCATTAAACCATCTTTCCAAACAGCCTCCATGTTTCCAGTGTCTTTTTTCCCACTTGGAACTGAACCCAGAAGGATAATTCCTCCAACATATATATATAGATACACATTTAATAAATTATTATGACTTTTGTTTATGCAGTCATTAAAATTCACCCTTTGCCACCCTTCAGAAACAGGCTTTTCATAATGTGCTGGATAGCTCCAACAAAGATAAAGCACTCCATTCGTTCAAAAAAAGAACAATTTTAGAACCAACGTTTTCCTGAACCCAGAAAATGTGTTTTGCTGCATAATTTAATTTTTGTTACTATATTGGTAGTTCAGTATAATTTGGGTGATCGATTTTACTATGTTTCTTAAGTTTTAAAGTATTACTTTGAATTTCTTGCTTGGAAAAGATAAAAATGAAGCTTTGATTTTTTTTGGGATTTGATGATCAGATTTGTTATGATTTTAGAAATATTGTGTATTTTCACTTTTACCATTGGACACATACATACATACATATATACATCTATACATATACACACACACACACATACACATATAGGTGTAAACTTGGAGTAAGAATTGTTTTCTTATATAGTTCTAACTCTGTTTTGATGTCTAATGTTTTTTAATCTGACTTTTTGTGTTTTTATTTTGATTAGTAGTAAGATATTATTTTAACTTCATATGTATATCTGTACTGAAGAAAGTTCCAAGTAAATCTCTCTATTTTGTCACTTTTTAACTTTTCCCCGTTTTGGATCCCCTTTCCTTCAATTTTTCCTTTTTTGTTATTTTGTATTTCGTCTCTCTTTGAAACTTAATAAAGTCGATTTAAAGAAAATAAAATTATATATTACATAAAAAATAAACTCTTGCTTGTGCAACGGGTTGGGTCAGACGACCTCCAGGGGTCCCTTCCAACTCTGGTATTCTGTTAAATAACGGGATGAACCTTATCCTAAAAAACCCCGTAACCTGACCTTGGCTCAATCTATCTTGGAAGCGCACCCGCCACAAGATACTAAATTATAGGATGCCTGGCGTCGTAAAGTGAGGCGGGTGGGCGGGTGAGAATCTCTTTCCGTCCCTTCTTAAATCGACCCAACTTACCGGTTTGAAATAAGGCGACTGCAAGGCCATTTTCGGCAGCTGGCCGCGGAATCCGAGAAACGAAAGTGAATTCCGGCAAGTTTGCCAAGTTGGACGATCGGACTTTTTCTTCCCACCGCAAGGAAATGAGGTCCTCGCAGATGTGGCGCCGCGCTCGAATGGAGCGAAGCGGAACCGCGAAAAGGAGTGGGGTAAAAGAAAGGGGCGGAGCCTGCCTGGAGATCGGGGGTGGGGTGTGGGGTGGAGATAAAGTGAGGGTCAGTGCTGCTTCCTAAAAGCCCGAAGTGGTCGAAAGTAGCTTGAATGTGACTGAGGGATGCTACTGGTCACGCGATCTGCTTCCCTCCATTCCCACGACCCCTCGATTTTCCACCCGCTCTCTGGTGTTTCCCAAGTGCTAGTCGCGGAGGTGGGTTGGAGGGAGGCTATGGGTCAACTTAAGGAAGAATTGCAGCATGCCAATAGGGTAATTAATACCCATGATCGGGGTCATGGGACCACATCTGAAATGTTGCGGGCCTTTACACCACAGGGACGAGCGTGCAACTAATTGCTTTCCAAATTCGGCCTATTTGGGGTGGAGGGGAAAGAGGATTTCGCAAGCCAGAACCTTCCAGTATGATCAAAAGAGGCAGACTACAATCTCCATAATCCTTAGCCTGGGAAGATTGGTATGAAGCCTCCATAACCTCTGGGACAGGGTTATTTTTATTTTTTATTTTGCATTAGAAAGCCAATGAGAAATATTCCATTAAAATATGGAATAATTAAGGTTGATAGCTATTTACAAAGTCTGCATTGCTATTACTGTTATTCTCATCACTCCTTACCACCCCTCCCCTCCCACTTGTGACTACATGACTGTAACTTTGTCGCTTGTTTCCTTATGGTTTATATTGACTGTTTCCTAGTATGATTTGATGGTTGATTGTACCCTATGACTATCATTAAGTGTTGTATCTGATGATTCTTGATTCTTAATGAATGTACCTTTTCTTTATGTATACTGAGAATATTTGCACCAAGACAAATTCCTTGTGTGTCCAATCACACTTGGCCAATAAAAGAATTCTAATTCTAATAATATGTATTAATATCAAATGATGTAAAAAAGTTAATAATAGCAAGACGGAATTATTGTCCTGTTTGTTTTAAAATGTAAAACACCCTGGAACCACCCTGTTAAAACAATGATGTGTTTATAGAAATAAAAAAATATTGAGGGGAAAAAAGAAAGAGAAATATTCAACTAAGCATGTCAGCTACAGAGATTTTGGCAAATTCTTTCAACAAATTACACAAGACGGAGCCACCCCTTCCAGTAAAGGAAATTAAAGTTAACCTTTGGCCAAAGCCGGACATTACTGAGTAATCAAATGAAATGGCATGTGACCCAAAGTTAAAAGTTTATTCTTCCAAATGATTCCTTTAAATGATTAATTTCGCCGTCTCTACAGTTTTGGATGCAGCAGCTTAATAGTTTAAAAATAGTGTAAACTGGGGGGCAAAAAAGGTCTTTTTCTTTTTGCTGGAATAAAATGGCACTGTGTGCCAAGCCTACCATATTGTTCAGAACAGATTTGGGCTAAATTCTTAACAATAGTAGAATAGAATAGAATAACAGAGTTGGAAGGGACCTTGGAGGTGTTCTAGTCCAACCCCCTGCTTAGGCAGGAAATCCTACACCACTTCAGTTTTGAAAGCAAAGCAGAGGTATTTCTTTCTTTTTTTCAACTAGCTGTATCCCCAGAATAGCAATAGGGAAAACACCTTTTTAAAATGGCTATTGTTGGCTGGGGCAGTGGTGGGATTCAAATTGTTTTTACTACCGGTTCTGTGGGCGTGGTGGCCGTGGCAGGGGAAGGATACTGTAAAATCTCCATTCCCATCCCACTCCCAGGGGAAGGTTACTGCAAAATCCCATTCCCTCTCCACTCCACTAACCTGCTTTCCAGCTCCATTCTCCAGTGCAGGGCAACCAAAGAAGACCCAGCCAATCAGCTGGGACTCGGGAGGCAGAGAGTAGATGGGGGCCGGGGCTAGTTTCTCTGAACTATTCAAAATTTCTGCTACCAGTTCTCCAGAACAGGTCAGAACCTGCTGAATGCCACCTCTGGGCTAGGGGCTACATAGCTATGGCCTACCTATCAGCAAAGCTAGGCACATCAATGTTCCTACCAGCATTGGGACCAGAATGTACTCAGAAAGGAAGTCCAGACTTCAAACACAGGGGAAGAAGGGGCACCAGGACATGTTAAAGGTAGTCCTCATCTTACAACAGTTTAGCAACTGTTCAAAGTTACGAAGCACTGAAAAAAGTGATATATGACTGACTGACCTTGACACTTAACGACTATTGCAGCATTCCCACAATAACATGATCAAAATTTGGATGCTTGGCAACCGGCATGTATTTGCAACAGTTGCAAATCATGTGATTGCCGTTTATGACTTTCCCAGCCAGCTTCCAACCAACAGAGTCAATGGAGGAAGCCAGATCCCCTTGTCTGAAGAAATATTCATCTGGTCCAGTTCCAAGCTGGGAGAAAGACACTGGAAACATGGAGGCTGATTGGAAAGATGGTTTAATGAAGCAGAAGCATATGGGTGGTGCCACATAGAGTTGAGAGTGTGGGGGTATTTATACCTTCTCTTGGGCTTTGAACTTGAGCTTCCTGTTCCTGTGCAAGGACATGTATTCTATTGGCTACTATAGGGGTCATAGCTGGCTCTGTAGGTTGTCTGAGCCAAGCTGGGTTGAAGCTTGGTCTGCTGATGCAATGAAGGGGCTTGTTGGGCGATTCCTATTGTGGCTGAGGGCTAATTCTACCTTTGTTCAGACCTTGCTGCAGGCAGTAATGGATTACCAAATCTGCATTTCTAAAGCTGCCCCAGCTCAGTATCTGCTCGGGGGTGGCAGGGAGCTGACGCTCTTGAGTTTCTGTCTCCCGTAAGATTTTTATTTCTCTTCAAGGAGAAATTCATTTTATCATGCCTTTTTAAATATTTCTCAAAACATTTCATTCCTCTGTGAGGGGGTAGCTTCCCACACCCTTATTGATCGCCTGTTTCACTTAACAGCTGCAGGGGTTTGCTTAATAAGCCTGACAGAATTGGGCCTGACTCACTTAAACAATTGCCTTGATTGTCCCAAGTGTTCTTCAGAATGGAAGAAGCTTCTTGGATGAGAAGCAAAATGTCTTCAAGGAAACAACCAAGAAAGTCCAGTTGCGTTTTGAATGATTGAGATTTACCATAGGCAATTGCCTTGATTAGCGATGGAAATTCTGGTCCCAGTTGTGCTTGTACATCGAGAACTACCTGAGCATACAATTTCAGGCTGGAGGCAGGCTGGTATGGTGATGACTTTGCAAACTATCCATGCTGGCCTTCAGGACTTGGGTACCCTTTGCCTTATATTTGTCACAAGTCTCTGGGCTTATGTTTCTCAACCTTAGCTATGTAAAACTTGTCGAATTTTTTATTTTATTTTCTCTTCCTCTTCCATTAGTTCCCTATTCCTGGAAGGCTCTGTCTTCATACCTTAGGAATGCATTAACCCCTATCAGTTCTGTGTCCATATACCAGATTGATGCCAGATCCTTTGGCGAGTCTATGAAGTTTTAAGGAGACAAATGGATCATATCTTATGTGTAAGACCTATAAGCATGTAAAAAAGGACTAACAATTTTGTCCTTGTTCACTTTGAAAGGACTGCCCAGGAACTACAAAGATCGCTTTAGTATAAGGCATAGGCGGTATTCAGCAGGTTCTGATCAGTTCTGGAGAACCGGTAGTGGAAAGTTTGAGTAGTTCGGAGAACCGGCAAATACCACCTCTGATTGGCTCTACCCACATCTATTCTCTGCCTCCCAAGTCCCAGCTGATTGGCTGGGTCTTCTTTTGTTGCCCTGCACAGGAGAATTGAGCCGGAAATCAGGTTAGTGGGTTGAGGAGGGAATGGGGATTTTGCAGTAACCTTCCCCTGCCACGCCCACCAAGCCATACCACACCCACCAAGCACACCCACAGAACGAGTAGTAAAATTTTTTGAATCTTACCACTGGTATAAGATATACTTTAGTTGTCCTGTTTCATGCTACAACTGTTCAGTTCATTCAGAAATGTTTGCCAAAGGATTATTTTTAAGGGTTTGGAAGTTTAAGTATACCAATGTCTCTCCTGGGCCATTTCTGTCTTTAGGCTTGTAATATAGTAATAGCAATAGCATTTAGACATACGACTGCTTCATAGTGTTTTACAGCGTTCTCTAAATGGTTTACAGAGTCTGCAACAATCTGGGTCCTCATTTTACCAACCTCAGAAGGATTGAAGGCTGAGTGAACCTTGAACCAGTGAGGATCGAACTCCTGGCAATCGGCAGAATCAGCCTGCAATACTGCATTCTAACCACTGCGCCGTTATGGCGCCTATCCAGAAATATCCATACAATGGTGTCTAACAATGATATATGTATCAAGATAACTTCCATGGGATTGCATCATTTGTATCATAAGGTTGGCTGTGAAGACAGATGTGTTATTTCACCTGTGATATCACAAAACACATGTCATTTGCCCTCTATGCCTCCCTGTATTCCCCCCACTCAAAGCTCTAAAAATTTAGTATTTTTGCATGAGATAAGAAAAAGATAGCAGCTCCTTTTTCAGGAATTGATGAAGACATCTGATGTTTTCTACAGAATCCTCAATTTCCAACTATAGTTATCTTAACCCAAGTTATATTTACTTACATCCCAAAGTCACATCAATAGTTAGCGTTATTTTTGTAAAACATGTCATCACACCAGGTGTTTCATCCAGAGCAAAATTTTATTCACTTAAAGAAACTCTAAAATATTCAGAATTTCATTAGCATAGAACGTTCTTTTTCAGACTTTTTTTCCCTTTCAACAGCTGAAAAAAACAATACAGAACTCCTTCTTTGTTAATACTAACCATTTTTAAATTAAATTAATAGCCATTTCAGAAGACAAACTGAGTTGATAGAAAATATTTATATATTTATATATATTTATATATAGGTGTGTGTATTTACTGTACAAAGTTTACATTTAGAAGAAAAAGTAAATTTTCTCCAATATTACAGACTTAAAAGTTTACGTACAGGGGTTAAATTGTGACTTAGGGAGACTCTTGATGTACAGATGTGCTT